GGTTCGAGATTAGACCCGGTGCCCGACCGTTAGAAAGTGCTCATTTTGTGCTCTACGGATGTTTTGTGAAAATTCTGGCCTCCATTCTAATCTGTGTACTGACTGGTTTCATTCTCATCGCCATGGAAATCGCCCGTAGACGGTATCTACGTTTGCAGAACTTGTCCACAAAGTTGACACCTCAAGGCAATGTGAGTAGGTGTGTGCCTGAGACCAAAATAGAACTGATTTCCCAAAAAGCAGTTCCCGCGGAATACGGCCCGTTCGATCCGGATCAAGCCACGGAGGAACGAAAGAATGGGAGGAAGCGAACCGATAACGCTGTTCGCGCTAAGGGTGCTCGGACCGGTCACCGTGAATCCATTCAGAGCGGAGAAGCACAAACAAGCAATCGGCTGGGCAAAAAGACACGTCAAAGTCAACGGGCCACAATTATGCTGATCGTAGTTGTGGTCAGTTTTGTCATTACCGAAGCTCCTCAGGGGGTGTTCAACACACTCGTGGCCGTGAAAGGGGAATGCTTTCATTCAACTGTCTATGTGCCTCTGGGTGATGTGTTGGATTTGGCCGTTCTGTTGAATTCATCGATCAATTTCATTCTCTACTGTACAATGTCCCAAATGTTCCGAGCCAATTTTGCCCGACTTATTTATAAAATATGTCCCTGCCTCTGTACGCGTCTGATTCGGGTCAGTTCGGTGCACAGTCGTACCGCAGCGAATTCCGTAATACCTCAGTCCCATAAGAATCCGTTGGTCATCGCACCAAACACATGCGATCAGATCAATCACAGACTGGTGCCATTTCGTCAGATTACATCCGAACAGCCACGGCAGCCGGACGTGAACGCGTCTGTGAGAACGGTTAAACCTGTTTGAATGCACAATCCGGGGCAACAGCTTTTCAGTCAAATCGACCGCGTTATATGCGCTGTGAATATTGTGTTACTCAGTGTCGAAGTTCCTTTCTAACCCCACCTATGCAAACACACACGGAGAGAGAGATGTCGATCCAAGACTACTGATCAGTCACAGAGATAGTGGGGGAAGGGATCGTGTGTGATGATACTCACGTATCGGTACATTCCAAACTTCGATCTGGGACGAATCAAACGTACAATGAGCCCAGAATATAGTCGGTCTTCAATTCCATCTCCGCCCCGCTACCCTCTGTTCATAAATCACCACATCACCTGTTCGCATGAGCCTAGTTTCATCGCCAGTCGTTGAAATCCCCGCGAATACCTGAGTAACAAAGAATGACCGTCCGAACACTATATTGATTCACTAACGTGTGACGAACTTCTGATGTATTTTTCGTATTATTCATATGTGTGTTCATCATCGTATGTGATACATCTATTGAAATATCAAATTGCAATCTCAGCTGAGTGTACCTGCTGTGAGTGAATTATCACTTTTTATCAATCGATGAGATATGATATCATTGTGGGTCAATTTAGTGTCATATGCATATTTCGTTCGAATGACTGTACGACAACTGTTTAATCGAGTGTTTGTCAAAAATCTAAAACATGCGCGTAATCCATAGCATTACGGAGGAAAGGAAGCGCGTCAAGGTCACTGGTAGATTAAATCGAAATTATTGACCTGCTGCGACCAGAGATAGGGACAAAAGTGTAACGCCAGAAATGTTACATTTTACTTTAACCTGAAAAACAAATACCAACTTGTGATCATTAGCTCACGTTTTTCTGTGTAATGTTTGAACAAAACTTTTGTGATAGAAAAATTAGCGTGATAATGGGATTTGGCATAGCATCACAATCCAATTTCAATAGAGAGGAGAAATAGGATAGAGCAAGGGATAAAAGGGCACACACACCACCCCTTGTATGTTGAAGTGTTGTTGTAAAAATTGTGAAAAAATATGGAGTAGGTTTGAACGGGCATAATCGGAGTTCAAAACCGAATAGGGAGCCACATATCGTGGACAATGAAACAAGTTCACATGAGCAGCTGATTCGTGGGGAACTTTCACAATCGGGTGTCGCAAATAGTTGTAACGTGTACAACACTAAGACAGCCGGGAAGCTGATTATTCTCCGAACCTCCAATACAGTGGGATTTTGAGCTGTTTCAGATCATCTAACCAAAAATTGAAAAGTAATTAATCGGTTGGGACTGGAACAAACAGACCCCTAACAAGATCAGGATCTCATTGCACATCTTCTGAAAAGTACCGAAATAGAATTTGTATCATTCAGAGAGGCATCTTAGAAATAAAAAGAACAATTTTTGCGTCACTGTCGTGAAAATATTAATAAATGGGTACACCTTATCACGAAGGTCAATCTGGAATACAACAAATGGCCATACACAAATGACTTCTAAAGACTAGGGTTATTTTTATAGTTGGGCAGCTACATGCTGATCCTTTTCAATGCTCGTTGGGGATTGCTCGTAACGACTATCTACTTTTGGCCGTTTGTAGAACATATTCACACACATTTTAAGTGGACCACAGGCAACAATGCGATGAGACGAAAAGAGTTTGAATGAACAACAGTAATAACCGAACATGTGTACCTGACACAGCTAAAATGAACCGGAGGTTGAGCACCCAGGAACATTCCTCAAGACAATCAAAAAGACATTACACTTGGTGTGAATAGATCCGCGTAACATGATTTTACCCATTAAATTCTTTTTCTTTTTTTATTTTCAATTCTCCGAGCAGCGAAAAATTAACTTTTCCCCTCGTGTCTCTTAAACTCATTTCGCTCTTCTCAACACCGTGCTATAACGATAGACTATCAAGGTGTGAAAACTAAAAGAGCTCGTCATTATGACCTGTGCGTAATCAGGGCATGAAGCTGTGGAGTTTCTTCACGGAAAATCAAAATCGAACACAATGAATGAATTAGGTTTTCACGGCCTATCTCATCAAACGGTGGGCAGGAAAGTGGAGAACAATCACACAAGTGTTTTTATTCACATCCCAGGTTATTATGTTTTTAATCAAGATGTTTTTCATTCAGTTAGGCTTCGTGTATTGCATGCAAAAGTGTGATTTAATACAATGGGTTTTGCTAACGGTCACCACATAGTCGTTATTATGTCCCTGAAAGTGCTTGAACGGTAATAAATATTGAATTTGTGCTGCATTAACCTGGCCGATCGATTTCGAAGCATTCACAGTGCACTTGCGCTGTAAGACGCGGACAGCAGCATACTCGAAAGCAACTCAATTGAAGTGCAAATGTGCAAGAAGATGTACGTATCCTGCAGTGTTTGCGATTCCGGTATGTGAGATTTGCTCTAATGTTACAACTTAACTGTCACCGTGTGGCGTTTCAACGAAGCAAAAGTGAATGCATAGAGTTGAATATGTGCAGGAAATGTATTGGACTATAAGGTGAAATAAGCCAGAAACGGTGAATATAAGTGCAGATGAAATACTAGCGGAACCAGGAACACAAAACTGCTCTCCGAAAATCATCAGAAACAGTTGACAAATTCTGGAAATTCCATGCAATTCGCAATCACCTTTCCTGAGATATATTATCACAAAAATATTGCTTGTCGCCAAAAATGTCGAATCGGCTGTTCTACAGTGATAATCAATTTTCCAAAAAGTACCCTAATTCGGAAGCTTATGATTAACTGTTCAGATAAAATCATCGATAAGAGGATGAACAATAGGGCCATGAGGAGATGCATGCGAGCTGATAAACACTGAAATAAGCAACATCCGGACAGGCTATTCCCGTTAAATTTCAATCATCACGCACAATTCACTATTCAACCAATCAATCGCAAAACTAGACTCGAATAGCATTCTTTTTTGTTTTGGTTTGAGCGCATCAGCAGTGTGTAGGCATCCCCGCCGTGCGGGATCTGAACTCCGGACGCCTCAAATTGGAGACGTGTGAGCTAGCAGTATTCCAAAAATGCCTAATTGTATTCTACGTGAATTCACATTTCGTTCCCGTAGCTGATAGTGCAATACGTTCTGATGTTTACGTGACGCATGACGGTTGGTATCCCAAGCAAATGAAAAAAAACCGAAGAAGCCCCTAAGCGACAATATCCCACTGATTTGCAAAGGTGAAAATGTTCACGTTTGTAGCAATGATGATCTCAGTTAGATTAAAACTGAAAGTTTACATGAGGTATAAACTTGAAAAGTGCATCAACTCGATGCTGGTGAATATGAGAAATCAGTAAAAACGTATTATTTGAGAATCGATATGATTCAGTAGGGTGAATCTCAATCAAAAAGGTTGGATAGTCTTCAAAAATAGTCCATCAAGTATGCCGTAAGGGCAACGAAGGCGGGGAGGGGAGAGAAACTTCGCATTACCATCCAACTCCGTGTTTCGTGTACATAAATGATGAAACGACCTATTCACAGTAAAGGAGTAATCCATTTTAGACCAGTTTTATTTTTACACAAGGCCATTTCAAAAACAAATTGACACTACAACCGGATAAATTAAAGTGCGTGCACAAACGCACGAAACCATCTGATTTCGTTTTTCACGCTGTCTCTCATGCACACACACACACCTGTTCATGGCACCTTGAGAACAGTGTTCAGATTGGGCGTGCCTAAGAGAGACTTCTTCATGGCACGGCCACTTGTTGGAAAGAGAAAAGCTCCTCAAAAAGCTCATGTTTAACACCGTTAGAACGACAGGTGACGAGGAAAGTGCATAACCGGAACCCCCACCGGGAGCATCATTCTCATTCACGCCCGCCGAAGGAGTTGATAAATAGGTGTGACTGGGAAACTTTCGATCATATGATTGCCATATAGTAGCGAACTAGGGGAATAATCATGCGAGATTAGTTCGAACGATACACCCAATTATCTGATAATAAACATAAGGAGAGATCGATCTTAATCTATGCTAACCTCACTCCGCATTCCCACAAAGGTGAATCGGCTTTTTATCACCAGTCACCACAGTCGTTCTAATTAGCTGGATCAATTTCATAATGGGAAAGCAATTTCGCGTATTTGCACCATGATTTCTGATGTGAACAGCAGAATCACAAGCGTTTCAAACAATACTGGCATAGCACAATGACAATAATGATGATAACAAAAAATTTAGCCAATTTTTTCATTTATTTTTCTATATAAAACCTAAAACGCCGACAGGGTAGATATATTATTGGTTTCCAAACTGTCTAGTATCAAAAAGACGAAATTTAAATGTATTTCGTCCAATGAATTCATCCAACTAGCAACACATTTGATAATCCAAAGCATACTACTAGGATTGTAATGAGTAATCTACTAGGTCGTTCGGAGGTTTAAACGTTCCCGGTAGAGATGTATTGTCGCCAGAGAGTTAAGAAAATAATTCGATCATTGGAGTCCATCAGGTACAACCTTCACACTAAACATTGGGCGCAGTGAGTGACCGGTTTCCAACGTGATTAAACTGGGAACTATTAGAGCCGAGCAATTAACCGATATGAATAACACAGTCCCGATATATGGAATTCGTGACATCATTCACTCATTCATTGTACAGCGGAATACAGTGAAGCGAACTTCTCTGATCGCTGCCAAACTCATATTACATACAAGGTGGGAGAGAATGTGTAAGGAGGACAGGGATCGGGTCTATTTTTAGGGATGGGGAAAAAGTGCACCACTATGGTCAACAAATAGAGAGCACAGTCCAGTTGTGCATTCATACTATTTCAAGCATTCTGTTCTGATAAGAAATGACAACATGATCGCCATTGCTGTCGGTTCGCTGCCATGGCCTTCAGCGTCTCAATCCATCCAGTCACGGAGTCTTTTGGACACCAATCCGGAAGACGGGAGACAACCGCTCTACCTAATCGCTCTATGCATTTCTTCATACCTCTTTTCCACGTCCACTGTTGGCCACCAC